TGCTATTTCGACGACATTGTTACTGGAACCAGCCCTCTTTCCGACGCAGTCGCACTACAAACGGAACTCCGCAAGCTCTGCACGGCGGGCGGGTTCCCACTGCCAAAATGGGCCGCGAACCATGAAAAGATTCTAACGGGAATTCCTCCCGAACATTGGCTACATAAAACTTTACACCTGTGGGAAGAAGAAGCCCACTCCACCCTCGGGCTGCGATGGCACTCAACGGAGGATCACTTCACCTTTGCAATCCATCCGCGCACGATAAGTAACCTAACAAAGAGGCGCGTCCTTGCCGAAACCGCACGTCTCTTCGACCCACACGGTTGGCTAGCTCCAGTCATCATACGGGCAAAAATTCTCATTCAGTCAGCGTGGCTGCAACACTTGGAATGGGACACTCCGCTGCCCTCCAAAGACGCACTTCTTTGGAGCCGCTTCTTCGAGGAACTCCCACTGTTGGAGCGTCTGCGGGTGCGCCGCTGGCTCGGCACTGGTTCTACGATCGAACGCGCGGAACTCCACGGCTTTGCAGATGCGTCTGAGCGAGGCTACGCCGCAGCCGCATACCTTCGCGTATCCCAGAACGGGACCACGACAATCCAGTTGCTAACAGCGAAAAGCAAGGTCGCTCCGGTGAAGCAAGTCTCTTTGCCCCGCCTCGAGCTGTGCACCGCTGCCCTGCTCACAAAATTAATCCAACATACTCGCGACTGCCTTAGTCTGTCCACAGCATCCATCAATCTTTGGACCGACTCCACGGTCACTCTTCACTGGCTCCGTGGACACGCGTCACGATGGAAAACTTACGTGGCAAATCGTGTGTCACTAATACAACAGTGTCTTCCAGAAGCCCAGTGGCGACACGTCCCTGGACGAGATAATCCGGTTGACTGTGCCTCCCGAGGCATCGCCCCCAGCGAACTCGTCGACCACCCACTGTGGTAGAGTGGACCCGCTTGGCTTCGAGAAGACAAAGCGTTCTGGCCAAGTGAGAATCCTGAAGTTCAAGACGATAATCTTCTAGAAAGAAGAACCACAGCGCAGTCCTGCATTGGCATGACCCACACAGAACCCGAGATCCTGCTTCGGTTTTCCTCACTTCACCGGCTCCAGCGAGTCACCGCGTGGTGCCTTCGGTGGCGGCGCCCGGCGGTGCCCAAGGAAAAGAACGCCTCCCGAAACGTGGAACCCACGCTCCAGGCGGACGAGCTCGACACCGCGCTCTCTAGATGGTTACGCCGAGTGCAAGGCCTGCACTATCCCGACGAGGTCGCCGCCATCACCGCACGTCGTCCTGTATCGCCGAAAAGCAGACTCGCGAAGTTAAGCCCTTTCCTTGACGAGAACAGCATACTGCGAGTCGGAGGTCGCCTCAAGCACGCGATACTTTCGCAAGATGAGCGACACCCCATGATCGTGCCAACCGCCTCATGGCTCACCCAACTGCTGGTGGAGGCATGCCATCGCAGGACCCTGCACGGAGGAGTGCAACTTACCCTCGGGCTGCTGCGTCTCAGATTTTGGATTCTTCAGGGCCGGTCCAGAGTAAGACAGTTGCTGCATCGCTGCGTCATTTGCACTCGGTGGAGAGCCGCTACACCGCAGACTACAATGGGCAATCTGCGACACGGACGAGTTACTCCAGTTCGCCCGTTTCTACGAACCGGCGTGGACTACACTGGACCAATTCAACTCCGCACAAGCAAGGGTCGAGGACAAAAAGCTCACAAAGAGTTTATCGCCGTATTCGTCTGCCTATGCACAAAGGCTGTACACTTAGATGTTGTGTCCGATTACACATCGGACGCATTTCTTGCCGCCTTTCGACGCTTTACTTCGCGCCGAGGCCTTTGCGAAGAGATATACTCCGACTGCGGCACAAATTTCATCGGGGCAGACAACGCACTTCGAGAGCTCTTTGCCGCTTCCTCCACCTCTGGTCGCCGAATAGCCCACGCGGCCACAACGGAAGGAATCAAATGGCGATTCAATCCTCCTGCAGCACCGCACTTCGGAGGGCTTTGGGAAGCCGCCGTCAAATCTACCAAGCACCACCTTCGCCGAGTCATTGGAGAGACCACACTCACCTTCGAGGAAATGACTACTCTCCTGGCTCAAATTGAAGCGTGCCTCAATTCACGACCGCTCAGAGCACTATCCGACGATCCGGACGACATCTCCGCATTAACACCAGGTCACTTCTTAATCGGTGCCCCCCTCCTGGCCGTACCCGAACCGTCTCTCATCAAGGAACCTGACTACTCGCTCTCCCGATGGCAACACCTGCAAAAAATGCGCGATCATTTCTGGGAACGATGGTCACGCGAGTACATTTAGCAGTTCACTTCCAAACCAAAATGGCTCACAACGAAGGACGCCGAAGGTCGGGGATCTATGTCTCATCCGTTCAGAGGTCACTCCGCCAAGCCGATGGCACCTCGCCCGAATAACCAAGCTGCATCCGGGAGACGACAGCATTGTTCGAGTCGTGACAGTCCGAACTCCCGCATCCGAACTCGTTCGTCCACTGGTGAAGATCGTTCTCCTTCCCGAAGTCACAGACACAGCAACGGCACAACAAGGCTTCTGTGGGACAAAGATCAATCGCATTAATAAATGAACGTTTCGAGTTATTACCCATCCCGTCATCCACGACGCGTCAACCGCACTGCTATTCGTCACACCGCAAGATCACTTATCCACGTCACTAGCAGCACCCTGGTATTTCAACATCATCGCCTTTTACAATTCCATACTCGTACTTCATCGATAAAAGGAATCCGAAAATTCGCATATTTACACTGCTGTCACACTGCACTAACCTCACTCGAAAAACATCAACACATCGCAGCGCCATTACAGCGCGACGTCCGATTCGCGATCACCAGCGATAATCGATCGGTGATCGACTTTAGCTATCGCGACACTTGCGCTCTACCCCGGCGCGCCACTCATTTCGTCACGCTGTGCCGAGGCGGGCGGGAATGTACGAGATCGCGTAATCGGTCCGTCAACTCAAGCAAAGTTGCGCATCAAGAACCAGAAAATTGCAATTAAAATGCATTTCAAAAAAGCGGGAAATCAAACCACATGCAAGGTTTCAGTTGTCACACGGGCTTTTTCAGTACATCATTGGTAAGTTCTAGAAAAATCTATTAACAAGAAAAAATCTCCCGATAAGCCAAACAACTCGCACAAACATTCGTTTTTCCATTCGGAAAAAACCCGCGTGACAAACAAACACGTAGAATAACAACCTCCGCCTTTCAACGAACTTTGCTTGTACCGTTACACGCGATGCACAATTGTCGTGTCTGTTCTCCCATCGGTTCGTGGTCTCCGCTCGTTCGCGATACTCTCGACGCAGTGTAGCAGTGGGGATGAGTCGCCTGACGGCTCTAGCTGTACGAATCGAGCGCTCTACACATAACTCTACGCTCATAACCAGAGGTGGTAAATCGTGTGTATTAGTTCTCAAGAAGTTTTAGTAGAAAAAAAACGGCACAGGCCGATAACTAAACTGTAATTTTATCATTTTTTTCCACTTTTCATATGAAATGTTAAACTCCGCGCTCCGTTATTATGTATACTTTAATTGTGGAAAAGGATTTTTTGATATTTATAATCAATAAAAAGATTGTGCAAAATAAAGTTTTTATCGGTAAAATAGACCCTTTGGGACCCCCTTAAGTCTTAATTCTTACTGCTTAAGTTTTTCTTGTGCCACGGCCCTTAAGCCCGTATCAGACTACGTATTGAAGATTGAAATTTGACCAATCAGGATAAAAGAAACTATTATAAAATTTCCTTGTCCTGATTGGTCAAATTTCAATCTCAATGCATAGTCTGATACGGGCTTTACGTTACGTTAAGTATTGATTCTAAACCTAAACCTAAACTCATACGTAATCTTAAACTTCAGTCAACGCACAGAGAAAATCGTAACGTAACAAAAGCATACTACGTTACAATTTTGTTTGTGCGTTGACTGAAGTTTAAGATTACGTATGAATTTATGTGTAGTCAGTACTTAACGTAACGTAACGTGTTATGGAAAAGCTTGTGCGGTGGCCCTTATACGGGCTTTAGGATTTAAGATCGTCTTAGTGCCGGTCTACAATAGATGATTTAAGCCCTAAGCCTTAAGAAATTGACTAATCACAGTC